ACCAAGAAGAACTAAATCAAATTTGAAAGAAATCATGTTTGGGATTTAGTCGTTAGACCAAATGATCAAATCGTCATTAGTACAAAATGGGTCTTTAGAAACAAACAAGATGAAAGTCGGATAATTATACGTAATAAGGCTAAATTAGTGGTCAAGGTCACAATCGAGAAGAATGAATCGATTTTGAGGAAACATTTGTATTGGTCGCTAGACTAGAATCTATTCAAATGCTTCTTGCATTTGCTTGCCATAAAAGTTTCACTCTTTATCAAATGAATGTTAAGAGTAAATTTATAAATGGCTTTATACAATAAGAAGTCTTTGTACAACAAGAAGTCTTTGTACAATCTCCCAATTTTAAAGATCATAAGTATCCAGATCATATTTTAAAACTTGGAAAAGCTTTCATGGTTTAAAGCAAGCTCCAGAGCTTAGTATGAAAGATTGAGCAAGTTTCTATTTTCGATCAATTTCTCAATGGATAAAGCCGATATGACACTTTTTATCAAAATTAATAAAAATGAAATGATTATTGTTCAACTTTACGTTGATGATTTTATCTTCGGTACAAGTATTTCCTAACTATATAAGCAAGGAGCTCGAAATGAGCATGATGACGGAACTCAAATTTTTCTTGGACTCCAAATTAAATAAACTAATGGTTGAATATTCATTAGTCAAAACAACTACATATTGGACATGCTCAAGAGGTTAGAAATAAAAGAATTGAAGCCAATGAACACTCCAATGAGCTCACATAAAATTGGACAACGATGATCAAGGTACTTTCATTGATATAACTAAATATCGAGGTATGATTGGATCCTTTCTTTACTTAACCGCAAGTAGACTCAATATTATGTTTAGTGTATATTCATTTTCTAGATTTCAATCAAATCCTAAAAAATCACACCTTAGTGCTGTGAAACAAATATTTCGATACCTTTGTGGTGCAAGAACGCAAGGTCTTCAGTATCCAAAGAGCACCCACATTGACTTAGCTATTCAGATCCTGATTGAGCCAATTGCATAATTGATCATAAGAGCACTAGCAGAACATGTCATTTTCTAGGCTTTGCCGTGGTTTAGCAAGAAATAAAATTCCGTGGCATTGTCTATCGTTGAAGCCGAATATATCTTGGGCATTAGATGTTGTGTGCAAGTTCTATGGATGAAACAAACCCTTAGTGATTATCACTTGTCATTTGACCATATACCTATCACGTTTTATAACACGAGTACCATATCAAAAAATTCTATTTTACACCCGTGAACTAAACACATTAAAATTAGACATTACTTTTTAAGAAATCATGCACCAAGGGAGGATATTATACAATAGGTTGTGAATACAGGAAAAAACTAATTGATTGATATTCTCACTAAACCTCTAACACTTGATAGATTTTGGACATTTGAAGAAGTATGGGAATTATTGATGAATTTGAATTATATGGCTAAATTGTATGTGTATTTTAATGATCACAAAATTGTTGATTTTATGTGAAATACTTTTAATACTACTTTGTCATCAAATTTTTATTTTTATTTATTTATTTATTTTCATTAAAAACACAAAGCGGACATCAGGGATTGAGAAGGGGATGTCCAGATTGGAAACGAGCAAGGGGTGGACGTCTAGATACATGCTTTCGGTTTGGTAGAAAATTCCAGTTACTTTTAGTGGATGTCCGAAAGGTGCGATTTTAGAATTTTAAATACAGACCTTTCTTCTTCATTTCTTCCCTCTCCTCTCCTTCACTGTGTGTGTCCACTCCAAATTCCCCCTATTTCCATTCTCATCGATAAGAACGTTGATTTTGCCAATTTTACTTTTGAAGTTCCCCACATTTAATATTGAAAAGTATTTCAAATATATGGGTTGGATGTCGATCGCTAGTTTGGAAGAAAATACCTATCCTAGATTTATTAGAGAATTTTTACAAAAGCATGGTTATTACTCCTAGCGGATGGCATTTCTTGTATAAACAAAAAAAAAAAAAAAAAAAAGGAAGGGGGGGAAGAAAAATCATCAAAAATTTTGTTCATATCGGGGGAGAGGCCCAAGAGGCCTCCACCTTAGGCCCAGCTTTTGAAGGGGCCCAAAATTTTCCTTTCTCCTTTTTTTTTTTTTAACCCACTAAGCCATTTATAAGAGTTGGCCCAAAATATTGTGATGCTTCATAAGGGCAAAAATCAAAACGGATCGGAATCTATCAAAACAGCAAAATTCCCGAGAAATCAAAACAGATCGGAATTGATACTAGAGAACAACGGTGCATTATTCCATTAGCAATCAAATTTCAGTTAGTTTTGTTTCTCTTTTCTCTCTTTAGATTTGTGGATATCTGTTTTTTAGCTCGTGTAGCAAAAATTCATTTATTTCTTGTTTTGGAGCTATTTCTTCCATGTGAAACAAGGTAACTATTTCTGACTTTTAAGGGTTAATCTTTTCCCTTTTTCTTGTTATTAGTAATCTTTTACTTTCTGGGTCTTGCTTGGAATTGAAAATTCGAAGGTTTATTTGGTGGGTTTACGCAGTTTATTGAAAAATTGCAAGCAAAGCTTCAAGTTGAAGAGGGTTTCAATTAACAATTTTATGGTTTAGGTGAACACTTGTTGTTGATTTTTCACTTAAAATATACTTTTGGTAGCTTAATTTCTTCTGTTTTTTTACATTTATCTAATTATCTTTGAAGTTAAGAGAAGCAAAGATATAATTACGATTTGGATATGTCCCCCCACCCCCCACCCCTTCCATTTGTGTAGTTTTGCATTAATAAAAGCCCCCTCCATTTGTTTACTTTTGCATTAATAAAAGTTGCAATTTGGTTGGATTAATTTAGCAAGATTTATTTTGTACAAATATAATTTTATTTGACCTTGTGGAAAACTGTTTTCTACTTCACTTTATGAGTTTTAGATTTATTTAGCCCACATTTGGCCTCCATTTTTTTTAATTAAAATAGGTGGAATAGTTTTTTTTTTTTTTTTTAAATGAGTCACAAAAGCTTATTTATTAGTATGTATTGTTGACTGCTATGAAATAATCTTATAAACTCAAGTTATTGCTTGCATTTCATTAATTTTAATTTGTTAACATTTTGTGAAACTCCAGGAGAGTTGATTGGTGTAATTCTTGTTCTAATTTTACAATTTAGTAAATATTAGTTGTTGAGTGACTTGAGTCAAATATCATGGCTTCTAACTATGTGTTTGGAGCTCAAAAAAGAAGAAGAGAAAAAGAGTAGAGGCATTAATTTGAAGCCAAACTGGAGATATGAATATGTACCTTAATAACAAGAAAGAAAAGAACAAGAGAGAAAAAGTAGAGGCATTAATTCAAAGCCAAACTGGAGATATGGATACGTACCTCAATAACAAGAAAGAAAAGAGAAGGAACGAACATCGAAAAATTTAATGATTGAGAACAACGGACGATAAAAAATGGATTTCTTGCTTGACTTAGGGGCCCAAATTCTGAATTCGCCTCAGGCTCCACGAAATATAGGTACGGCACTAAGCATATCAAAGGGTCATAGGCAGAAAATTCGAACATCCCATCAAACTTAAAACAAATCAACTCTCTTTATCTTGCAAAGTTTTACAAAACAATATTGTTGACCTATGATAACTATAACATTAAAGTTTTGATTATAACAAACAGGTTAATCTTTTTTAATAACAAGTTGAATTTAAATGATTATAGTATTTCAAAGCACACTATGAAAAATTGATTGATTATTGTCAAAAGATCAAAAGCTATCCTCACAAATCGGGCTCAAGAAGGAGGTCAAGATCGAAATCACACAATCAAGAACTTAAGAGCCAAACTTCGAAGCAAGATCAAGGACTTGATTTCTTCGATTTTTGTAAAGGTACTAACACTTTGATATTTGATAATGAATGCTTAGGCTCAAAATCCATCTATTCATTAAAAATAATAGTGTATTAAAAGTCATTCTAATGCAATAATTTGATTAAATATAAAAATGATATTTGAACTTGAAAAGTATCTTTTATCTTGAAAGGTTAGGGTTAGTTACAAATATTTTTCAAAAGTCCATCCATTTAAAAACCTTTCGAATTAGAACTAACGGGGTCAAAGTGGGATATTCTTGTGAAAGCTCTCGATTGATTGAATCATCTTTTCATCAAAATTTTCTCATCTAATAGTTGAACTTCATTTATTGCAAATTCATTGAAGCGTTACCACCTCTTAGAATTTAATTCATTGTGTGTCATTTATTAAAAGAGATGTTCAAATTGTAAAATTATTTTTCAAATTTGTGTGATTGTATTGAGGTCTTGTAAAACTCAATATTGTATAAGAATTGATGCTCCTTGTTTGAAGTCACCAAAAGCTTGGATTGCATATTTGCTTGATTAAGTCATTTATTCTCGCTTGAATTTAGATTAACTCTTTCAAAAACATTTCAAAAAATCTACTTTTTCCCATTTTGGTTAGTTATTCTTGGACTATCAAATTTTACACGTAAATTAAAAACATTTCATTTTTCTTCCTACCACGTATTCTCCAAAAACTCAATATTCCAAAATAAAATTTCTTATAAAAATGTGGCCGAAACAGGGGCTTAATGATTCTCGTATTGCAAATTCTATGAGCTTGGCAATAAACTAAGTACCCAAATTCTTTTCTTATCCCATGTTTATTTTAGTTAAAAATTCAATTTTTTTAGGAAATTTTGATAAAAAAATAGATGAAATATTTTATTAAAAAGTTGATAAAAATGCGAGACTCATAAAATATATTGTTGAGAATGGATTTGAAGAAAATGAGTTTTTAAAAGATAATGGTCAAACAGGACTTAATTTCCTCTGTTTTTACTTATCAAAAAGTGAGATTTGAGGTGTAAAACTAGGTCAGGCAATAGAGGGCAATGAGCCAAACATATTATTACCTTTTGTTTTGATTTTCGTAGCCCCTTCACACCTATACCCTAGGTGAGAGTTTGAGACATACCATACCATTACGTATATTAGCATAAATAAACAAGTACGTTTCTATTATGTTCAAATAGTGTCCTCAGGATTTTTTTTATTTTTCTTGTTTTATTAACAAACTAGTAATTATTTTATACCAAGCACTAGTAGCATATAAATCTATAGACTGGATCTTGAGTATCTACCAAAACATCAAATTCCTTAGTGAGCTTTGAGTAGTACTCCAGCCTTCTCTGAAAAGTTCTCTATGTACTTCTTCCTTGCTGGATGATGCTCCTGTGGCCGATTGAATGGTGTCCATACTGGCTCCCCCACAAACAACCTCGTCAACTGTTATCAACAAAATATACATCCATGTTAGCATTCATGTTAATTAAGCAGATGGGGTAAAGTTTAATGACTAATTTGAAAGAAAAAAAGTATGGTGTAAAATGTGTTTTCTAACAACGTTTTTTCGAAGTAGAAAACGATTTTTTAATGGCATGTCCACTTGGCATAAATCTTTGACTGATTTATGGTGACTCGAATATATGTTTCTGTGTGGCTATCCTGGACCATTGATTTGAATCTAACAGCTGTGGCTTAAGTCAAGAATTGTCTTTGGTTAGTGGCTCTTGAGCTGGCCGGTGGATTCATTCATTCTTTTCGTCTTAGCCTCTTGTATTTTTCTCACTAAAATCTCGAGAAACCTTTCATCTTCAAGGCCTATTGTGTCTTCACTGTAAATCAGATCTGGTTTCTGATTTCTGATTTCTGATTTTGGTATGGTGTTCAGCCCAATTTGTATGGTGATCATTTGCAGAAGTTTTAGGTGCTTTTGTGGTTGATTAATCTATAATTGAATTTAGACTACACTTGGTTTTAGTCTTGGGTCAATTAGGTGTTGGTTTTAGTGAAATCTATACTGATCGCTGATAGTATCTTGGGTTTGGTTGTACTCTAATCTTGAACTCTCTCTCAGGTGGTTTTTTGCACATAATAACAGGCTCTTTACCTCTGATCCCCCAGATTAGGCATTGTCGAACTGGGTGAGCATATGGTCCATATCTTTGTGTTGTGTTTACTGTTTTTCATGTGAGTTTGTGGTTTGGTTTCTACATTCTGCCTAATTTTTGTACGCGAAATCCTAATATATGGTGGCTGAAGTAACAACAATTTTATTAACCCTTTAACTCAATAATTAAGATATAGCCGTCTCTGATCAGTTTGTTATTTCAAATGCAGCCGATAAACTACAGTCCTTGAACTAATTCCATCAGTAGGCAAATGATTTGATGTTGCAATAATTTCAATGCAGTATGATGATTAATGCATAAAGAATCGAGTATGTATATATACCTTGATATAGTTGCTGGTGTCAAGGGTGAAGCGATGGTAAATTCCAGCCGGTAAGACGATAAGGTCACCGGCCTTGATCAAGATGCGAATCCAATGGTCATCTTTGTCCCTAACATCAAAATATCCACTCCCCTCCAGACAGTAACGTATCTCCTCATCAGCGTGTATGTGTTCCGTGTAAAAATTCTTCAATTTCTGCTCGTAGTTCTCCACCTTCTCAGGGCACAAGTCCAGCAAATCCTTGGAAACAAGTTAACTGAATGTTAGATGGAGACATGTTCAATTATATAGTGCTGATCAAGAAGTTCAAAGAACAATCAGATGCCAAATTATTCTTTCCGCTCATTGCCTTTTGCTGCGAACTTAACTCGGCATTCTAAAATTAACTTCAAACTGCCATATAACTTCGGGAGGATGTGAGAATTCGTGGAGCAGGGATTACGCTACATTTTATGGTGACACGTTTTTGAAGTCCTAAATTCGAGTCTCGATGCCACTCATTTTGTGAAAAATGTGCACATATGCGGTGTCAAGCTTATGATGAAAAGGTAAATATGATATGTAGTTGAGCAGTGTGTTGTAATCAAAACAAAATAAGCGCTTGTCTGGAGGAGATTTTACTCAAATTTCCGGTGAAATTTTTACCATTGCTTTTCATGAAGACAAGTCATTTATGACAGGAAATCAGATATCACAGCCACAATGTTGGACCAATTTATTGTAGAATGATCATGTTGCCCTTAACAATTCATTCATTTCTTATGATTGATGGGCAACTCAGGTATTTCACTTTTTGATTTTCAAACATTGCTGCAACATGGGACCCATATGCCGGCGGATAACGGTCGGAAATTTGCTCAAAATCAACCAATAATTTCTACCAGACAGCCCCTAAGTCAGTTTATCCTTTCTCTAATAGCTTAGACAATAAATAATCACACTGTTCAAAAAATATAACTCTGTTAGATATGGCACCATGATATTTGTGTCTTAGATTATCATCCATCTAAAAGGTCATCTAATTCTATGTAGAGCTCTCAATTAATTGCAAGATATCAAATCCAAGTTGGTGTCTCTCATTGTAAGAGGAGGTTAGTCCAAATGGTTATACCCTGTAGTCAAGCCTTAATTTAGCCACATAAGATGCCACTAAGCGTCTGTTTGGCATGACTTTTAAGAAGCCAAAACCGAATACAATATTATCAGTAAGGATAAAATTGTCATGGTTAATACCCAAATAACTTTTGGCATGATCATGCCAAACAAACATAAAAGCCCTTTCTTGAAGAGAAAGCCTTTTAGAAATTAGATTTCAAACACTAATTCAAAAGCTACAGCTTCTACTAATACTGAAATGCAGAAACTATCCCAAATGGGCTAGAAATCTACTATGATTCCTAGCGTTACAACCTCACCCATTAGGACCTTACTGTGTGAATACCAAAATACTTATATACTCGCAAACCAAGTTTCACTACAGAGTAGGCAGCTATGTAAAACTAATATCAAGAAAGGTCCCCCGAAAATTGCAAATACAAGAAAGTAAATCATATACCATATAACTGTAACCTCTGGCCTCTCTAATCTTCTGCAAGTCCGGGTCATTCTCATATTTCTCCGGGTCCAAATGCCAGTACAAAACTCCAAGTTTCTCTAATTCCTCCATTGAAACATACTCTGGTGGGTTCTTGTGATGTGGGAGCCTCTGATCCTCCCCATTTTCTTGCATAAACCATGCCTATTAAAAAAAAAAATGCATAGTAGTCACAAAAATTCGAGGAAATTAATGGTAGTTAATGACAAGTGATATAAACATAGTACTTTACCTGGACTGCCATGAATCTGTGACTGCAGCAAACGGTTTCTACAAAGGTCATTATATGCAGGTGAGTGGTCAAAATTTAATCAATTGTTAAATGATTCTTGTTGTCCGGATGATGCCACTTGTGGGGTTCGGTTTCCATTGGATTACTGGTGGTCGAGATTTTTTAACCGTTTCTGTTTGCTTCTAAAAATATCATGATTTGTGGGATGGGAGTTGAATGCTGTCCATACGATCTAGATTTCTATCGGTTGCGTTTAGTTTAAAGGTCTAAAATAAGTCTGGAAGCATGTAGGAAAGTACACGTTGCTGCTCCAAGCGCTGAATTGGCACCCCCATTGGAGGGAGCGCCGGAAAGCTTTGTCCGAAGAGAATTATCTTAGGAAAGTTCATGTAAGAGAACCAAGTATTCTTGTTTAACCGTTGTTGGATTTTTATGACCCAAAATAAGTTGGATTTTTATTGAAAAAAAATATTGTTCCATTTATTTCATATTCTTTTTTATCTTGTTTCCACCTTTATTATACTCTAGGGTTTGGTAAGTACACCTATAAATATTAGACTCTTTTCACAAGTTTTGTATTACTGAAATATAGAATAATTGTATATGCACAGTTATTGTATTTGTTTTCTTCATATTCGTCAATTGAATAAAATATTTCGTTCCTCTATCAATTAATTATTTGCCTTTAGTCTTGATGTTTGTTTACGATCATATACTTCATATCGTGTCATATATATATTATCTCAATCCATTTTGTTTCCCAACAAGTAATATCAAAGCTATTGATTGTGATTTGTTTGAAGTTTTTGTTATTGATAGCAACTATAACGTATAAAATTTCGCTTTTGAATCGTAATACAAGATTTTCGTTTTGGCAAATGAAGATGCAAGCTATACTCGTGCAGATGCATTTAGATGATGAGTTGTTGGGATTTAACAAAATGCCCAAAACTTGAACGACGGAAGAGAAACAACGGAAGTATAATGACCCAAATTCTATAATTTAAATCGCTACCAGACAGGATGTATTCCAATTACATATTAAAAAATAAAAATAAAAAAAATTCCACCAATAAAACATAACACAATTTTATAATTATAAACCAATTAAACATGCTTAAAATTCCTAAACAAATTTTTTTATGAATTAAGCTAAGAAATTGCTGGAATAAAATAATAAGATATTTTATTACACTGGATTATTTTTATTGTGTCCCATAGATCCTGCTTGGCACCACGAATACATCGCATCGCCCGCAACCAACAAGCCGTTCTAACCTATGAGGAGTATGGAAAAATGATAAGTACATAAGAATACTTAATAGGACACGAAATTTATATTGCGATCCCGAATAAAATATTTAAATCATGCTTCAAAAAAATCATACCATTATCATATCTTTAAAAAGGGTAAAAGCTCAATACATATCACATCTTTTGTATCGGATGGCCATATCATAATATTTCACATCATATCATATCTTTACTTTTCATAAGTATAATAGTTCATTGACATAAAAAAAAAAAAAAAAATTAAACGGGATCTCATAAACTACACCTTGTAATTCTACCTTGACTGATAAAAAGAATTGTTGGAAAATAAGCAAGAATTTCGCGTTCACAAAATTATCTGTTGTTGTGTCGGTATGCTTGCTATACTAAAAAAATATATCATTTATTTATTTTTTTATTCCCAACTTGGAACACTTGTTTAAGGAAGACGGCAATCAGGGCATGTGTGTGCCCCTTTAATTTCAAAGAATGATGTATAGAATAGTGATTGATGTTAAAATGTGTGATTAAAAAATTGAAAAATTTTAGATTTATGTGTAATATTATAAAGAATATGTAGTTTAAAATGAATTTTGTAGAAAAAATAATGTGATAGAATTGTTGACAAACAGGAACTCAGTCTCGTATAACCATATATAACTCTTCTATTATACATATTTTCCATTTAATTGATTTGAAATTTCTCGTGTGCCTGACAGTCATTTGAAAATTAGAGGCAATTTCATTAATTCTGACAAAACAATTGACCCTTTTTTTAGCACAGTTTATAACATGTTGTGTACTATATCAAGGGCCTCTTTGGGAGCGATTTTTTCACTCAAAAAATTGATTTTTTACCGTTATTTCACTATTTCAGTTATCATACTTGACTTCTTCTCTCACAGGTGGACCCCACTTTTCTCCTAACGGTCAAAAAATCAATTCTCAAAATCACTCCCAAATAGGCCCCAAGTAAGTATTCAATATAATATATTATATTATTTAAAAATTAGGAAGCTATTTTACCCTTTTCCTATCTAATTTACACGTGGTTTGCACGTTTTAAAATTCAAAATAAATATAAACAAATAACATTAATTGACAAAGTTTATAGACCTCAATATCTGGAATCTAACTTGCTCGAATCAACTTTTTCTCGAGCATAATATTCATAATTATTTACGAGCTATCCAACGAACTTAATATTGATATATTTATCATTACTCTATCAATATTTAAATATTTGATCTAAATAAAATTGAATTTAATACACACACATACACACATCATTTTGGTCCCTAGCCTTTTCAAATATAAAAAGTATAGCACGTAAAATAATTAATTCTACCCTATTATAATTTTTGGGACTTTCTAGGAAGGATTGAAAGGCACTTTCATAAATTCATTTTTATCTCTCTAACAATATTTTTCAGGGCGTTTTGAAGGGAAAACGGCAGCTGCATTGTGGTTGAACTTGGAGCAATTGTGTAAGACTAAAAGTCTAACAAGCAAATTGCATCTAAAGAAAATGTTGTATTCTTATCGCATGGCAGAAAGCATATCTTTGGAAGATCATATGGCTGTGTTCAATGAGATCGTGACTGATTTGGAAATTTTAAAGGTAAAATATGATGATGAAGATTTCGCTTTAATCCTTTTGTATTGGAGGAACGAAAGAGGTTCCAATTGTACATCTTGCAGGGTCCGGCAGAATTGTTGATGAAAAGTCAACATAAATTTAGTATCGTTATGGAGATTCAGTTGGGTACCATACCTTTGAAATTTTGTTTGGGGTCCATATTTATGAATACTACTTAATTGAGTTTGGAGGATATGGGTAATTCCGCTTTGCCGTCATTAGCTGTGGTTCCATCGTATTCAACCGTCAGGGATAGACCCATTAGATATAGGTACGAGGATGTTGATTCGGTTGCACTTGCCTTTACCCTTTTTAAAGTGTTGAGACTAGTCAAGGGCCTTCTATGAAAGTATTGGGAGTTGATTTTGCTACAGTGTGTGCTTCGACGGTGTTTGGTAATTTCTAATTCTTTATGAATTTTGGGAAATTCGATGTTTGGGTTCATGTACATGTATTGAATACAGTGGAAGAGGATGAGTATTTTTATGTTGAAGAAAGTTTAATACTTGTTAAAGAGTTCGAGTTTTTATTGCAGTAAGATATATTTTTTAGGTAAAGAAATCTTCGAGCTTCACTCGTTGCATGGAAATTTGTGTCAATGTGAAAATTGCTAAAAAAATTTACCCAAATTAGATTGAATTTTTATTGAAAAAATATCGTTCTCTTTATTCCACAATATTTTTCTATCTTGTTTTCATCTTTGTGATATTCTATGGTTTGCATGCACCCCTATAAATATGGTTTGCATGCATCCCTATAAATATTAAACTCTTCTCACAAGTTTCGTATTGCTGAAATATAAAATAAATATGTAAACACAGTTATTGTATTTGTTTTCTCCATATTCGTCAATTGAATAAAATACTTTGTTCCTATGTCAATTAATTCTTTGTTTTTATCTTGTTGTTTATTTGGATCATATACTTCATATTTTGTCATATATATTACCTCGATCCATTTTATTTCCCAACAACCGTGACATAACACATAAATTAATTTGTCATCATTTAATATTTGAAATTTATTATGAATTTATTCATTAATTAATGACGTATTATATCACTATTATTAGAGAGTCGTACATACAAAATTTCTTTGTGACTTGAACAAAGTATAATCTCTCTCTCTCTCTAGATGATTCGAATCAAACGTCTTTCGATTTTCTCTTGAATTTAGTCGGACTAAATCACATACACACACCAGATGTTGGAATTTGGAATTAATCTCTTACATTTCTCTTTTTCTTCTAGTTTATTTGTAATTTTTTTAGTTTATCTTCCCTTATTCTGGACGTGAAAACACAGAGCTCCCCTGATCACTATAAATATTAAGCCTCATCAGTGGAATTAAGGGTATATTTAATTACATTTATTTTCCATGGAAAATATCAATTTTTCACCAAAATTCCTACTTGGAGTGTTTGATTGCTATTTTTTTCCATGAAAAACATTTTCCTACTTTTGAAAATATGTCTAATTTTCCTTGTTTTCAAGGAAAATATTTTTCTTGGGTGGAGGTGGTTTTTGTTTTCCACAAAAAATGAAAAATATTTTCTTTTCTAGGTGATATTTTCTATACCAATCAAACACTTGCTAATTCAAACTCTTTCAATTTCAGCCTTTGGATGATCCGTAGGATTCATGAACTGGATGCTTTAATTTGATAATTTGATTCACCTTCAAAACTACAGCTAAATCATATGAAGTAACTATGATTTATACAAGAAATCAACACGCAAATTTATGCTATCTAAATTAGAAATTCAGATTTTTGGAGCTCAACAGGAAGTTTCTCATTTCCATCCCGAATAGCCATCAACTCCCTTGAATTGTCTTCCAAATAAGCTTTCAAGAAAGCAATCACTATTCCCCCAACAAATCTCCTCATCGGCTCCCTCGATTCCCCATTCTTGCACAAACAATGCGTTGTCTTCCCTCGAATCCCTTTCGTCTCATCGTCCAGCATATCAAGATGTCCATAATCCTTCACAACAAAGTAAAAAGCTGGTTTTTGACATTCGTTAAAGAAGTCTTGATGATTCACTCCTTTAGGAGCACAAGGAGGGAAAAGAGGATTCCTTTTCATTTCTCCCAATCCCGATCCTATAACCATTACTGCCATATCAAGATCGAAGGAATGGGGGACAAAATTTAGTACCGGAGGAGGTGTTTGTTTTCCCTTTTCCATTCCATCAACAGGATCAATGCCTATCACGGCTGAAAATTTCAAAGAAGTGA